ATAACAAAGCAAAAACCAAAAACTAACCACATTGAATAGAGTTTCTCGACAGACCAAGATAGATAACTGCCAACTTCAGGAAGATAACCAGGAACAGTTCGTTGGAAGAACGCCAACCAAGATAAACCTTCTTTAGAAATCAAACACTGATTTATCTCCAGCGTCTGTTAGCACGCAGGTCCACACTCTTACGCAAATCTCCCACCTGCAACCCATGAAGAGGATCATGGCCATCTCCTCCTGAGTAGACCACACTTTTCCATGATCCTCTCCTCCCTGCATGCCCTAGGATGGAGAGGGGATGGGCCTGGGTCCTCCTCTGATTGCTCAGCCGGCCTCTGCCCTTCCCCAGCCTCCTCCACCACCTCTGGAGCCACACTTCCACTCCCTGTTCGCTGTTCCTCCTCTTCCTCAGAGTCAGTCTCCACCAGGAGCATGACAAAAGATGGCCAAAAGACCAACCACGATGAGTTAGCCAAGCACTTCATTTACAATGCTCTTAAAAGAATTGTCTTCTGGCTTTCAGCTGATCTGCTCGTACGTCCTGATGCCTTTAGCCTTCTTGTTAGGGGCCAGCTGGGAAGAGTCTTTTCTGGTTGCTGAGATGCTGGGAGTCAAGTTCTTCTTAAATGAATTTGTGGCCTACCAGCAACTGTCGACCTACCAAAATAATCGTCTGATGGGTCTGCCTGAATGGGATGGTTCTCAAAAGCAGTGGATTTCGGTAAGTACCCTGGTCATCATACTGTATGGAAAAGAAACCCCACTGCTCTTTCTCCTCCAAGCCCACCTACCCTACCCTCTTCTTGATTTTGTGAGAGCAATCTCAGAAAGAAAGTTATGGATGTCCTGACTGGCATGTGGTTACAAGAGCTTCAGTGGACTTTCCTTCTTAAGACCAATGATTTTCAACCTTGGCAACTTTAAGACACATGGATTTCAACTTCCCCATGCTTGCTGGGGAATTCTGGGAGTTGAAGTCCATCCATCCTAAAGTTGTGGAATGGAACAATTCACCAATTCACCATGGCCAACTCGCCGTAGCCAACTCACTTCAGGACAACTTGCCATGGCCAACTCACTGTGTAATATCTTTATGAGTGGAACTCTTGTCCCACAGCAAGTTGGCTGTGGCAAGTTGGCAATAGTGAGTTGGCCATGGTGTGTTGGCCATGGCGAATGGTCATAGGCCCCTAAAGTTGACTATCCTTGCTTGAGTACACAACAGCAAGTGCTGAGCAAAGAAAAGTGGAAGATGCCAACTGGAAGAGGAATGAGTGGGTGGTGGATTTGTTCTTTATCACAACACTGTTTTCATTCTCTCTCTCTTTCTCTCTCTCCTTCCCTAGCCGAGAGCTGAAACCATTGTAACCTTTGCTCTGTGTGGATTTGCCAACCAAAGCTCTATTGGGATCATGCTGGGTGGCTTGAGTAAGTGAACAAACCAGGGAGGAATGTGAAGACTTCATGGTGGGTGGAAAAAGTCTCTTTTTGCTACCGGTGGTGGGGAAAGAATGGGACTGCCCCATAGCTATAGCCTCTGTGGCTTAAGCATCCCAACCACTCCTTCCAAAGGCTTGGTTATCCTCAGTTACCAAAGTGGTTTGGTCCTGAAGAAGAGCAATTACAAAGTGTGTATATTCCCATGACCCAGTTCCATCTGCTTTTTTTTTTTAACACAAAGCTTCAATGGCACCGCAACGCAAGGGTGACTTTTCTAGCATCGTTCTACGAGCTTTGCTCACCGGGTCCTGCGTCTCCTTAATCAACGCATGCCTTGCAGGTACTGCCTGGGGGAGGTTGATGGGGGAACAGGGCTAAAAGTAACACAAGTACCGTTGAGCCCCAAACTTTTATGGCTAAATGAAACATGCGTTAAGTGAAACATGTGTGATGTGTTAAGCGAGTTCGGACCCATTTTACAGCCTTTCTTGTTCAGTGGATCACTGCAGTTGTGAAGCTAGTAACACAGTTGTTAAGTGAACCTGGCTTCCCCATTGACTTTGCTTGTCAGAAGATCACAAAAGGGTATCATTTATGACGCTGCAACCATCATAAATACGAGTCAGTTGACAAGCGCCTGAATTTCGATCCCGTGGTCATGGGGAGGGTGTAACGGTCATGTGAAAAATGGTCACAAGTCACTTTTTTCAGTGCCGTTGTAAGTTCAGTCACTAAAGGAACTGCCGTAAGTGGAGGACTACCTGTATAGGGTTCTTATGTTCTCTCATTGCAAGCTCATGTTTTTTCTGCATGCAGTTTCCTTTGCAACAATACAGGCTGGTGGGTTTGGACCAGGGGTGGGAATCAAATTTCTTAACAACCGGTTCTGTGGTTGTGGACTAATTCGTGGGTGTGGCTTGGTGGGCATGGGTGGGCATGGCTTGCTGACTGGGCATGACTTGGTGGTCATGTGACTGGGTGGGCGTGGCTTGTATGTAAATATTATACTTATGTAACTATTGAATTTTTTATTTAAAAGAAGAGCAACTTTTACTCAAAATCAGGCAAAGCAGGCAGGCAGATTGAGTTGCTCTCAGAATCACAGATTCACTTAGACATCTATCTTTCTGCAGTCTGCTACCTGAGTCTGCACTGAAAAATAGAAGCTTCAGTCCTAAGGAAGGTTCAGCTCTGCTTTTAGATTAGCTAAAAATCAAGAAATCCAATGATTTCCTGCTTTCTAATATAAATCTCCCGGCACAGCAGAACAGCTGAGGGTTGGGGGGGGGGGAGGAAAAATAGTAATTTACCAAAAATTAAGCGAAGGCACAAGGCAGGCAAGTTGGATGGCGCGCATGCCAGGTAAGGATGAGTGGGCGAGGCAGGGCAGGGCCACCCAGTGGCATGATTTGCCGGTTCTCCAAACTGGGCAGAATCGTAACAACCGTTTCTGTAGAACTGGTCCAACCAGGTAGAATCCCACCCCTGGTTTGGCCCCACAAGTTGGTGACTTCCTTTCTCTTTAAGCAAAGGTGTGGCTTTTCCCACAAGCTCCGAATTTCCTACCCACAGGAATCCTTTACGTGCCCAGAGAAGTGCCAGACTGTTTAGACTTCTTTAGCAGTACCACCATCAACTCTACCAGCTACTTTCTGCATGAATGCTGTAAAAATTTGTTCAGGTGAGAGCTTGTGTGTGTGGCGCGCGTGATACGCACAGTGCAAGGAACTACCTCGAAACCCCGATTCCTTTTGCTTTGCTTTAACACAGAGTAGGGCACATCATGGATCTTTGCACCAGCAAGAGCAAGTAGAAGAATGTCAGGACACAGAATTGCCAGAGGTGTGTGGGTCAATGCCGCTTTAATAGCTTTACAGTTGATTCTGTGCTTTAGAAGACACCAGGGATGATATTGTCTGTGGTTTTATTTAACTTTAATTGCCACGTGGAATGAGCTTCAGGTCACCAACACTAGGAAAAGCTTTTGTCGTGGTAGTCCCAGAGGTGCTTTCTCAGGAGGCAACTGGGCTTTATTTTTTTTTCTTTTGAAGATGTTCCACTTGTCATCCAAAAAGCACCTTTAGGACAACCATGACCTGGATAGTTGAGGTAATTCCCTGTTAGGAGAATGAGCGCATACAGGGAGACGTATTTGAGAGGAGTGTTTGAATAATACACACACAGCACACAGATACACTGTACAGTAAATGTAGGTTTTTACTTCCAGAAAGGTTTAAGCAAAGTCCAAAATAGGCAGTCCAAAAGTCATTCACAGGTAAAATCAGTCAGTTTTCATCCAGGGATAATCCAAAAATCAAATTCCAGTGTCAAAAACAGTTGAGTATCAGACTTACATTAAATCCAGTAATATCAGTCAATTAGAAGAAATGGAGCAACGGCAATACTTTCCAACAGAAGGAAACAGAGATACACTTGCACTCTCTTCTGAGACTCAGACTAAACAACCCAGGTTTCTGGCTCCATCTTATGGCCATTTGAGAAACCACACCTAATTACAGTTTTGCATTTTCTTAAAGTTACAGTTTTAAAATGTTTATCCTGGTTTATATATTTCTAACCCAAATAGCTGTTAAGTGACTCATATTCCTAACATGGATGACTGAGAATCTCTATGGACTTTGTAGTAGACACATATCCATTAACTCAGGGGTCCCCAACCACCGGGCCGCGGACCGGTACCGGGCCGTGGAGCACTCTCTACCGGGCCGCAAATAATTTTTTTTTAAAAAAAATGGCGGCTTTCTTCACCTTCGGTGAATGCTGCTGGGATCGGGGATCAAGGACACAAATGAAAGAAGGGGAGGGAGGAAGCAACCAAAGCCTGTCCTTCTCTCTGGGTCAGCTCTCTCAGTCGCTCTCTCGCT